TAACCAAGAGTGATTGTATTAATTTTGAAATCATGGTATTCTGATATTTATATATTTAAATTTACTCAAATTTATTATTTTGATAGAGTAAAGTTGCATTTTGTTATTAGCTTAACTTGAATAGATTTTTATTGGATTATTAATTTATGTGATTTTTTTCATGATTAATGAAAATGAAGATATGCATAATTGAATTTTTGATGATATTTGTGTCCTTTCTTAAAAAGTTGCTAAAACTTTTACCTTTTTAGTATAGAATGGTAAATTGAGATAATATAATTTATTAAAATTTTAGTTTTTTAGAAATTGTTGTACGACCAATTACTTATTGATTTAAAGGTAAGAAAAATAGTGTGGTTTTATGTTTTACGTATTCTGTGTGTGTGAGTGTGAGAACAGTGTTGAATATTTATTCATTTATCCTTTTTTTGTTTTGTTTTATTGTTTTATGTAGTTGTGAGAGTAATTCAAGAGGGTTTTTCAAGATTTCATTTTTACTAATAAGCATATGATTAATATAGTCTTTGTTTTCCTGAAAAATTTTCAATATTGATGGTTTCATTTATAGATAGACATAATATGACAAATTTCATTTGTTTATTAATTTAACATAAACATTGGTGGTATAGTTAGGTGTTTGTCCTGATTCAGCTACATATGCTAATACTTTTAGAGGTAGTCAATAGTGAATATCGAGATAATTTTATAGCTTTTTAGAAGTGTAAACTTTTATTTATATTAAATTTATGTCATGTTTTGGAGACAATAAAAGAAGGACTTTCAAAGATTTTGGTTCTTCTACTTTAGTTTATCATGGTTTCTTGGATCAACAAGTAATTTATTGATATGGACCATGAATTAATATCGACAATAACCTTGGTGGTTTTTCTTTTATAAGTATGTGTAATTTAAAGTTTTGCATAAGAGAAATTATTAGGTTTCCAAGTAATTTGACTTTTATTCTTAGTTTAATTATTTATATCTATATATTCATTTAAATTTTTTTTATAATAGTATAATTTTCTTATGTTTTATAAAATATAGTTTTTGTCATGATCATAAGTTTGGTGTAGTCTTTGTATTATTATTATTATTTTCATTTTTATTTTAATAAATTTTACTTGATAATAAAGGATTAATGAATTTTTAGTTTTAAAATTCATAATAATGTTTAAAATAATTTTATTCGAAAACATTCAACTTGATCATGGGTTATTCTCTTTGTTTATTAAGAAACATAAGAAAATACTCTACCACTTATGTCAACAATCGGGTATTACAACTCAGTGCAAATATACTTGTGTTGTGACCATGTCAACAGCATTGAAATTGCAAATTTGGCAGCGCATGCACTTTTCTTGACATCATACATAGCTCAGAGTGAATTTCAAATGCAACAACATATACAATACCTCTAAACATACCAAGGAAAGAAAAATCAATTGTCTAATAATACAGCCATTGCAAATAATACATAAGTTTTGAATTGAATCACCATATTATAAAGTGGTTCAAAATGATTCTACCTTAATAGCTTCACGAGGCATTTCATAGGCATCTTTGGGCCTTGATTTCTTAACTCCAGCAGCAGTGAACCACACTTTGTCAGATTTGTAACTGTCAACAGCAACACTGGTGACCTTGACCCACACAAGAACCTTGGTCTTCATTCCATCTAAAACATTCAACTTACCCTTTGTTAAGCTCCCTTTCACACGGTTTGCATACCTCACAATGGATGAGTCCTTGAAGCACACCTCACAGGGAGAGCTCAAGTGCACCACCAACTTTCCTTTAGCTACATCAAACTCGTAGCAAGTTATGTTCCGGGGGAACAGACCGGGAGGAAGGTTGTACTCTCGAAGAAGATCTGGTAAAGCCTTCTGGGATTTTCCTATTAATAACAAAACAGAATGTCTCATTAATATGTTTGCTATTATGTACATTGCAAGTTCATGTTCGAAATGCATGTGCAAGATGTGAAAACAATAGCTACCTTTCAGCTTGTTGATGAAAAGTTTTGTCTTCTCTTCCACAGTAGTTGAGAGAGCCTGAAATTGCAAGCAACGTATAAGCCTTTATCGTTCAGAAAAATTATCTAATATCAGAAGAACAAATGCACTTTCATGTCCTCCATGTTTATTTTCAAGTAAGATATGATCCTAGTTCTGAGAAATTAACAAAACAATATACCCAAAACAGAGAAAAGTGAAGCACTGAGACAGAAAGTTAAGAAATGAGAAAAAAAGGGTGAAAGATGCATACTGATAGATCGTCAGTTATGTGGGAAATCTCTGCCTTGGCTTTCTTGGAGATCCAAGCACTTCCCAGTTTAGTGAGAGCCTTATCCATTCTCCTTTAACTTTACCAACTCTCAGTTTCTCTCTTTGAAAGAAAGGAAAATCATGTTTAAACACAATGGTATGGAAACTGTCTCTGTCATGGATGGTAAACCAGACAACTCAAGGCGTCGCATAAACAAACTTTCAAATAAATCACTCAAAGTGAAAAAAAAAAAACATCTCATAAGGTTAAGCTCCAAAATTTTCTCGCTTAAATTGGATTTTAGCTTGCCTTGTAATCTAAATTAATTAACAGTAATATCAGCGAGTTTATGGTTATAATTGCTTTGTAGGTGGGTGATGTTTCACATTCAATCACTCCTTTATGTAACATATGAGGTTCGCCGTGCCATAAAACCTGTCATACTAAAAATGATTTCTCAACTTAAATGTTACATCTGACAGAGTCCCGTGTTTAAATATTTTTACCAAACATTTTGAATTATCAATTAAATTTTATGATTCTTTTTTAACCTATAGGAGTTGAGAATATATTAAAGAGTTTACAATAATTCAATCTATACCTCTAATTATTATACTTTATAAACAATCTCTACGAATTTTAATAGGTTTGATTAAATTTAAGTTCGTGATAACTTTTTAGTATTTTTAATTAAGTCTTTAGTAAAAAAAATTATCAATTGAGCAATAAATTTTTTTATATTTTTTAAATGAGTTTTTATTGTTTAATTGTTATGGTTATAGAATCACAATGCTATTTTGTGAAGGAAGTTTTTTTAGTTAACATAACAGCTAGTTTTTATTATGTTTATCTCAAAATTAAAGTCGTCCTTCATACAACCAGCGGTCATGGATTAAGATGTATAAGTCTTCTTTTTATTGCATTTCACTTGAACTAAGATAATGGAAGATAAAAACCACGTAACTTTATTAATGGAAAAATTAAACAGTAAAAACTTAATTAAAAACGTAAAATATATTTTGGAAGACTTAATAGATAAAAAAAATGTAATAAGAATTTAATTAAAAATATTTAAATTTATGATGAACTTAAAATTTAATTAAGTCATTCTAATAATACTTACCAAATGGTTCTTTTGCTAGGTTAAATTAACATTGTTAGAATTAGTTATTACATCTTAAATCTATTCGTTTAGAAACTTGAAGTTTTGTCATATCTATTCTTAAAAAAGTGATTCTAATAGTTGAAGAAAATGTATTTAAATTATTAGATATATTATATTATTATATATTTTATATAAATATTTTATTTTTAGTTTTATTATTTTTTATTTTAAGTTTATCTATTTTTTTATTATAAATATAATATTATATATATTCTCAAGAGAAGATTAATTTCATATATAATATTTTATTATATTTAACTTAAATTATTTTTAGACGTAATATAGGAAAACTATTGAAATAGTTTAATTTTTAAGAATTAATTGTACAACTTTCTATGCAGAAATTCTTATTTTAATAAAATAAATAAAAACTAACGTTTTTCTTTACATTATGAGAAAATAAAAGAACTATGGTATTCATATTTTTGTACAATGGTAATAAAATGAGAAAATACTTACAAAATTATAAACCTATAGACAGATTTGATTCCCTTCTATAATCTAAAAAGTTAACTACGTGTTGCAGTCTTCAAAATAAGATCCTTTTCTAAACAATTTTCAAGTCTTTCTTGTTAGAGTGAAGATACAAACGAAATAAAAAAACTGAATTATAATTATTTTTTCATTTTGGACATAAAACACAGGAGACAAGCCACACCATTCGTTAATTTAGGCTATCATACCAATTAAATAATTTTCTAAATATAAACCTAAATCAATGAGACGGTGATGTAGCATGTTCTAGAACATTTAAAGAGAGTATTAAAATTAAAATAATACCCCTCTGATCACATTATTCCACCCATCCATCACGTTAAATTTCAATTAAAAAAAAATAGTTACAATTTTATCTACTGGTAAATAATGATTAAATTAACAATTTTGACAATTGACATATTTAACAAGACAAACAAAGGAATACCTATTCCACATCACAAATCACACTCCATATACTTGCAGGTGAGAAGGAGAACACAGAAAATATAAGAGGAAAAGTGTTTGCATGTAAATGTACAAGTTTAGAGGGTAAAGCATAAACCAAAGTTTATTTTCTTCCACCCGACAATCCCGAGAACCAAACATGAATAATTCTTCGACGGCCACACGCCATGACAACTTCACAACATTGTGTTGTCCGTAATGCTAATCTCCATTAATACAACTTCCAAACAGACCTCCATCACGATAACTTTAATGTTTTTTTCTCTCCCTTCATCCTATTCTCTCTGCCTTTTTTTTCCCATTTTCCTTCCAACCTTGCTTCCTACCCTCCACTCAGGTATCTTCTTATCTTCTCCACCTCACACACATTATTTTTTATGCATATATCTATCTTACATAAGACTTCTACATCTAACTGTTATTTACCCATCTGCATACATATAAAATAAACATATTGGATTAAGTTGTTTTTAAACATATATTTTAAATTTCCTTAGTTGTTTTAACAATGTTGAACAGTTCTGTGTTTGATGCTCTTTATACATGTTTTGACAGATAACCTGGGATTTTGGAGTTAGTTTTGACTTTCTTGTGACACTGTTGCAGCACACTCTAATTTTGCAAAATCATGGGTAGTGAGATAGATACTAAATCAATTGAACCTGTCCGGAATGCTGTCTCTTTGTTTGGAGATAAAGGTGATCAGAAGAAATATCAAGCTGCAAGGAGTAAGGTAAGATAAGTAAGAAATATGGTTTTGAAAGGATTTTAGAGTATCTTAAAATAACGTTTCATTGTTAGTCTCGTTCACTCGGGTAAATTCGATCATAAATATTATGAGAGATCGGCATCTAAATTCATGATTTTGCTTTATTTGTTGGTCAGAGTGATTGTGGAAATGAATTTGAGGAGCTGACAAAGGAATTGGCCAACTGCAAGTTTCAGTTAGAAGCAAAGCATGCTGCACACATGCAAGCACTTCTTAAGTTGGAGCATAGCCAAAAGATGATTCACGAATTGTCTACCCTACTGAAGAAATCTGACATTGAAAGAAACAAGAACATGAGTGAATGTTCGGAATGTAGATCTCGCAAAGGTGAACTTGAATCCAAGATGAAAGAGATGGTTGATCAGAGTTTGGAGGCTGCGAAGGTCCGAGACCAGTTTGCCCATGTTTTAAGCGAACTGAAGGCCACACAAAGGGAGCTTCTAAACAAAGAAACAGAACTTGTTGCTGCCAGAGATTCAGAAATGAACTCTTTGACCAAAGCAAAACAATTGGAATCCGCTTTGGAGGCTGAAAAGGAACAGAAAGAAGAACTTGTGCAGCAAGTGAAGGAGCTCAATGAAGCTATTCACAATTCAAAACTAGCTGCCATTGAATCTGAGAGAGAGAAGTTAGCTTTATTGTCTGAGAAGGATGAGCAAATTGATTTCGCTACAAAAGCTACTGCTCAGGTACAACAACAGCTAGAAGATATGAGAAAGCATGAGGAAATGTTACAAAATCAACCAATGGGCGTGTCTACAGTGGTGGATTCTCTTCTCCTGGAACATATACTAGCTAATGGAAAACTCGTTTTATCTGAGGATTCTTCTCCCAAAGACTTAGACCGATTAAACATTGACATGGAACTAAAGGAGAGAAAGATAATGGATCAATCTGCGTACATTCACACACTAGAAATGGAATTGAGTCGGTTAAAGCAACAAGTTAAGGTTGCAAAGGAAGAAATAAATGCCTTGAGTATTACTAATGAATCACTCACTAGTGAGTTACATGAGGCTAATGCAGAACTAAACATGAACAAGGAGAGCGACATTGAAACACAGGTGGAAATTGCATTGCTGAAGTCTAAGCTGCAGGAACATAGGGTGGTTTACAAGAATGGAAAGATTACTGAAGAATCTACAACCGATCACTCAAAGGCAGAAGATGAAGAGAGAAATAGTGAGAAGAACAATGAGCATGTGACAGGAAAATCCTTATTTGGAGTTGAAGGAGAGGTAGGAAGATTTTCAGAGTTAGCATTGATGAAAAAGGAACTGGAAAATGCATCAGTGAAAATTTCGGAGTTGAGGGCTCGTGCAGAACAGGCTCTGAGCAGGGCTGAGTTTGCTGAGAATGCTAAAACAGCATTAGAGGAGAAAATAAGGAGACACAGGGAACATAGGCAGAGAAGAAGGCTTGCTCTTACTGCCCTTAGGGAGGAATCTACCCCTAAACCATTTAGTCCTTCCTCATCGTATGGAACACCTGGATCCTACCAGCCCTTAGGTAAGGTTCTCAACATGAAATTGTGAAAGTCTAACTCTTATATATGTCATTTGTTACTTGCTAATTATATTTAGTTGCAGTCTCCTCTAATATTTGTTGTATCAAACAATGGGATAATCTGTTTGGTCTTATTTTCTGTACCACTTTTATTCTTATCCTAAGACATTATATCTTTAAGTTTGTACGACCAGGGACACAATCAGAAACAGCTATCAGAACGCCAAGTTTTACTGTAACAGGTTATGCAAATTTTAATATATAACTATGGAACCTAACTAATTTAAAATAACTTTATTAATCTTGTTTTTTCAACTCTATTTTTACATGATATCAGTTATTTATTCTTAGTTTTCATTATTCATACGTGGAATTGGTTTGTGTGATATTATTACATAGATAAATTATTTGGTCAATCAAAGCTATTTATTTCTCTTTATATGGGTGTAATTGTTCATGTGTTACAACTTAATTTCTTCCGATTGTAAGAAAGTTGACGATGATAGTTTAGGTTTGGTTGGGCCAATAATGATAGGTTAGGACTGATGGGCTCAATCCTCATTTCCAAACTGGGCTGGCCCAGTTAATGGGATCATTCCCCTCCAGAAAAGTTGTCAAGTGAATTTCATTTTTCTGGGACTGCTTAATGTTTTTGTTGTTTGAATATCGTATCTCAACCCTTATGAAATCTATTTATTCTAATGTTTAATCGGTTATCATAGTGTTTCTTATATAAGGTGGCGCAAAAAATGTATTTCGGAAAATCCTTATGAAATCGTAATTTCTAACAAAATACATTGCATCGTGATCTCCCACTTTTCATTTATCTTATATGGTGATAGAACGTTCTTGATGATAATGTTTTAGGTCTAAAGGGCGTGTTTGAATCATCGGGTTGGGTGATTGAATTGGCTTGTTTAGGAATTTTTGTCTAAGTTTTTCATTGAAGAATCCAAGAATAGTATTCAACAAAGTACATGTTCAACGTTACTTTAAGATGGGCATGACAATAAACACCACTTTCTCAAAGTGAAGTTTAGAGGTGGAGATGAAAAGTAATTCATTCGTTCACCTTTTTTTTCGCAAAATCAATTTTCTTATATTATTTTTAAACAAATTAATTAATTTTTTAGTTAATTTTTCAATTTAAATAATGTACACAGGTTAATTAAAAATTAAAATATTGAAAAGCAAAATAAAAAATATATTAATTAATTTATATGTTAATTTGTTATAAGAAACGAATGTGTGAAGTATGTTCACGTGTTACATATTCTAGCCTAAATATTAGTGCAAGGAAAAGCAGATGCAAATTGTTTTTACCTTCCATCAATCAGAAAACGCTTAATATTGATAATTTTTAAATATGAAACATGATAAATATTATTAGCAAGTTAAACACACGTTGTGTATTCTTTGTTTCTGGTCACTATTTGACAAGGAAAAGCCAAATAATGGGACGATGAACTATGGACATTTTGTCTTGAATTTCCACAAGCGTGTGCTGGTCAATTATTCGTGATAAATATCAATTTAATATATTCATGCATTCATATAGTCTTATGTGACAATCACATCTCACACTTCAAAGTTCAAAGTAGTAGATTGTTCCTCCATGAGGGGGAAAATCTTGAAAGTCAATATTTTTCTATTAACGTATTAAATATGGATGCCCAAACCTAATATTATATTAATTTAATAGAACTTTCATTTTTATATTTATACTTATTTTTTATTCAACATTATTTCTATATCTTTTCTAAAAAAAATTCAATGTGATATCTTCGATTAAATTAATGACATTTCACTATTTCTTTTAGAATTAAACAATAAATACGTAAAAAAGTGAATGATCGTATTAACACATGTTAGTTCATCATCATCTAAATAACTTTAATGTTGATGTAAACAAAAATCATACTGAGTTTTTTTTTTAAATATAAGACCATATTAAATAAAAAATAAATAGAAAAAAAATATTTAATTATTGTTACAAATATAAAGACCAAACATGTTATTAAACTTATTATGTTTCATAATCTTTAATTATTTCTTTTATAAATATAATGACCATATTAAAGATTGGTTTTATTTTTTCTAAAACCAACATAGATTTTCAAATTCAATAAAATTAATTTATTTTAACTAAATTAAATTAATTTGGATATTTTTCAATTCAATTTAAATTGAATTAAATCTAGTTTATTAATTACATTAAACTTAGATTAATTTGTTAAATATATATTTAAAGTTAAATTTGAATTAGTCTGATTTAGCTTCAATCTAGTTTAATATACATTTGGTCTCATCAAACCTAATGTAATATGGATTTAATATTATCAAATTCAACTCATTATGATTTGACTTTGCTTTACTTAAGTTCAATTTACTCAATCGATATTAACTTTAGTTCACCTTTCATAATCTAGATTAGTTTTGACCTATCTTGACATAAATTTAACTTAGTAAAAAATTGGCCTAAGCTTAGGCTTAGGCTTGACTCGACTTAATCCAAATCTGAACTAAATTTAACTCAACCTAATTTAGACCACATGACACAAATTGACCCATCTTGATTTTAGCTTAGTCATATCTAACTTGACCTTACATGACTTTAATTCAACCTTATTTGATTTTCTTAACTTAGACCTAACACAACCCGATATGGTTTGACTCATTCCAATCAAATCTCAATATGATCTAACCTAGCTTGATTTATGGTTAGATTTTAATTGATTTGAGCTCAACTTGACCCAATTCGCTAACCTTATATTTGATGGACCTAATCCATCCGAAACTTTCCTTAAACATTACATCTCATAACTTGATGTGACCTAATTAACCTTAATTTTGAATTTTCAAAATTCAAATATATCCAATAAAAAAATCCAATTAAATGAATTATACTTGAAATTCAAAAATATAAATTTAAAGTTAAGGTACTTTACTACAAAAAAAGCTTTTAACAATACTTCAAAAGGAAAATCAACAACATGAACCATTTAATCATGGTGTTATCCAAAGTCTTGTGCAAATACATTGACAAGTGAAATCGTGGTTGTTTGTGGAGCTTTGACGGTTTTTTAGCAAAATTGTCATTAAAAGCTATCCCAATTGCGACACTCAAGAAATGACAATGGTAGAAGCGTCTCTAAAGGCACCGCTACTCCAAATGCAACAACATGGCAGTTCCAAACGCGACAATAGTGGTTTGGAAAGCATAATTGTGGTTGCTTAGTTATAACATGAATTTTGATCAAGAAATTTTTCTTTGAATAAATTCGATTACAATTTTTTTCGAAAGCATAATTGTGGGTTGCTTAGTTATTTTAAAATCAATAAATAAACCTCTGCTATAAAAAGTATAGATACCCATAAACGTTTTCAAACAAAGATTTTTTTAAACGATGTTTTTGTCAACATTTTTCTTAAAATTATATATGATGCATGGGATTCGGAACCAAAGTTGGGCAAGGAACTTCGTGGTTGACCTGATTGGAGGTGAACAAATAAGATTTTGCTTCTTCCTTCCATTTGAAAATTGGCACCTTGTTTGTGATGAAATGGCTGAATTTGTAGGAAGATATTAAATAAATACAAAAAGCTTCTAAATGTAGTAAGAGTTGGGAGAGCAAGTGAAAACTGGGATTAAATGGCTAATGCAACCTAAACATTGACTTAATTAGTTTATTAGTAAACAAAGTTAGGTTAAAAAGTACTCACTTAGTCAAATTCATATTTTAATTAGGTTCTTAAAAATGATTTTTTAAAGCTAATAACTGAAGGATCTACTCACGTAAATGACACATTATCATATTATTATAATACATTACTATTTAAATACTTATGTTCGCTTTGTATTAAATATTTTAAAATATCAACTCAAAGGCTATATAGATTATATTTTAAAAATATAATCTATAAGATTTTTATATAATTATCCAAATGCTAAAATTGTATAAATATGAGTGGTCCTCACTCCAACTTTGTGCATATAATAAGACGAAGAATGTAAAGAGGCCGGCACGATAGTAGTTACTCACCAGCCATGATGATTGATAATTATATATATATATATATATATATATATATATATAATTAAGATAAGATATTCACATTTGATATTGACA